TGTGTGCAGAGTGTGCAATAAACAAGGACACTTGCGTCGAGTCTGCCCTTATTTAACAGATCATCATAATGTCAATGTGACGATTCCGACACAGAAGGTTGACGTAGACAGTGGAGACAGCGATGAGGTAATGATTACAACAGTAAATCAAGTATCCATTTCACAGTGTAGTCCGATAATTATACCCCTTATTATAGACAATAAAAATATTAATATGGAAATTGATACTGGCAGTGCAGTTTCTTGTATAAGTACGAATTTATATTATAAATTATTTAAACACTTAGATATTAAAGAATCTAAATTAAAATTGAGGTACTACACGGGGGAGTTAATTCGACCCGTGGGAGTTATAAAACCCTTAGTTAGTTTCAATGGTGTCAATAAATATTTAAGTCTTTATGTGGTAGAAGATGCTAAAACCTCATTACTAGGTAGACAGTGGTTAATAGAATTGAAAATACAGCTGCCTAAATTTGAGAATATAAATAATGTATCGGCTGTTGGTAATTCTTTTAACTTAGATGATTTTAGTTACAGATACTGTAAAGTCTTTGCGGACGGATTGGGGCGATTTACGGGCGGTAAAGTGAGCATACACGTTCGCGAAGGGGTTCGACCCGTATTTATGCGTGCGCGTCCCGTAGCATACGCGCTGCGTGCGGGCGTCGAGAGCGCACTCGAGCAAATGGTGCGCGACGGCATTCTCACTCCCGTCAATCGCTCAGACTGGGCCACGCCCATCGTGCCTGTTGTCAAGAAGGACGGTAACATTAGGATTTGTGCGGATTACAAATTAACATTAAATAAAGTAATTGAAGTCGATCGCTACCCGTTGCCTAAGGTGGAAGATTTGTTAGCACGTTTGCACGGCGGCGAAAAATTTAGTAAGATTGATTTATCTCAAGCTTACGCTCAATTTGAATTAGACGAATCAAAAAAATATACTGTAATAAATACACATAAGGGGTTATTCATGTATAATCGTTTAGTTTTCGGTCTGTCGTCGAGTCCTGGAATTTTTCAAAAACATTTGGAACAAATGTTTGCAGATATTCCTTACGTAGGAGTATTTTTGGACGATATTATTATTTCAGGGTCCGGAACTCGGGAACATATAAACAATTTACATAAAGTCTTTGATAGATTACAATCACACGGTCTCCGTGTTAAAAGAGAAAAGTGCTCATTTTTCGAGGAAAGTATCACATATTTAGGTCATGTAATTGATAAATATGGAGTGAGGACTTGTGAGGACAAAGTTAGGGCTATTGCTAATACCTCGGCGCCAATCAATGTTACGCAATTGCGCGCTTTTATAGGTATGGTAATGTATTATTCAAAGTTTATAAAAAATGTAAGTACTATAATGGCACCCTTGTACAATTTGTTGCGTACGAATGTTAAGTTTGTGTGGAATAATGAGTGTGAAACGGCGTTCACTTTAATTAAACGGCGATTATGTTCGAGTGAAGTGTTGGTTCACTATTCATTGGAACTGCCATTGATTTTGACCGCGGATGCCAGTAGTGTTGGTGTAGGGGCAGTTATCTCACACCAAACGCCGGACGGAGAACGACCAATAGCATACGCTTCACGATCGCTTACTGACGCTGAACGATCATATGCACAGATAGATAGGGAGGCTTTGGCTATTGTGTATGGAATAAGGAAATTTCACCAATATTTATATGGCCGTAAATTTACACTTAGAACCGACCATAAACCCTTGACATATATATTTGGGAGCAAAGTGGGCGTACCAGTTATGGCGGCATCCCGATTACAAAGGTGGGCCATCCTATTATCGGGATATAGTTATGACATAGAATACGTCACGTCGAATAAAAATTGTGCCGATGCACTGTCGCGGTTACCTTTAAGTAGTCAAAGCCATAGCGTATCCGAAGATGTAACTTATATTAATTTTGTCGAGCAATTTTTACCAATAACAAACCAGAATGTCAGGGCTGCCACTTCTAGAGATTCCGAACTGAGTCGAGTTTTGTTGTACGTTCAATCGGGCTGGGGAAATAAATGCGATGATGAAGGAATAAAACATTATTATAACAAGCGAAATGAGTTGTATATTGATCGAGGATGCCTTATGTGGGGTTATAGATTAGTTATACCTAAAAGTTTAAGGGGAGCTGTATTAAAACAATTACATATAAGCCATATGGGTATTGTAAAGACAAAGTCTTTGGCTCGTAGTTATGTGTGGTGGCCCAATATAGATGCGGATTTAGAAACTGTCTGCAGGCAGTGCGAAACATGCGCAGCGGAGGCACAGGCACCGCCACGAGCGCCGCCCCAACCATGGCCGTATTACATTCAACCGTGGAGTAGGATTCATATAGATTTTTTAGGTCCATTAAATGGCAAAACTTACTTAATACTGGTCGATACAAGTTCAAAATGGATCGAAGTTTTTGAAATGTCTAGAACGAATGCATTATCTGTCATTAAGGCCCTGCGAACTACATTTGCGCGTTTCGGGCTGCCAACAGAAGTTGTGTCAGATCAGGGGCCACCGTTCACGAGTTGCGAATTTCAATCCTTTTTGAGGAATAATGGCATTCGACAATCTTTTTCACCTGCTTATCATCCCTCATCGAATGGTGCTGCAGAAAACGCCGTTAAACTCTAATAGTAATTAGAAAGGCCATTAGGGAATCATTAGACGTTGATGCCGCCTTACAGACGTTTTTATTAAGTTATAGGAACAGTATTCATAGCAGTACTGGTGATACGCCTGCTATGTTGCTACAGCGACGGCCTCTGCGCTCGCGACTCGATTTATTGCGTAGTGAGGACGCACGCGGGCAGAGTGTGGCGCGCGCGCAGGCTCATCAGCAACAGTACGCAGAAGGGGCGGGGGCGGCGCGCGTGTTCTCTCCCGGAGAAACTGTTTGGACGAAAGCTTTCACTGGTTCTGACAAGTGGCAGAAAGGCACAGTGGTAGCCGTCGAGGGCTCTCGCCGCTATTTAGTAGACAACGGTAGCGAACGACTGATACATAGACATATTGACCAAATTAAGCGTAGATCGAGAATGTCCGACGTTCCTTGTCCTCCTAATGTAATAAATGAAAGTATAGAACGTCAAAATGGGAGTGAGGAGGGCGTTGAGCGATCAGAGGTGAGCATAGACGTGGAGGCAAGTAACTCTCCATCAGGAGATCGGTATGTGTCTCGACAGCGTTCACCAAATACTACCCCAGGTGAATCAAATGTACCCGACTCACCGTGTATACCCGCGAATCGCCCCAAACGAGAACGTAAGGCCGTACTGCGTTACGGCATAGATAACTGATGTCAATATGTGTATATACATAAGCTATTGTTATTGATTAAGTTAGGAGGTGTGATGTATAATAGATAAGTATCAGCGGGTACTTATCATTAGCAATTTTATAAGTAGGTAGAACTATTTTTCAGGCATAAACGTTGCTCCTTTTGTCTACCTTGTTTCTTTGTCGCTAAATATATGTTCGAGAGTAAAGACGCGTGTTTTATTAATTATATAGTTACGGACATAACAATTTCGTAAGGGATAATCACTTTTGTTTAAAATTAAAAGAGGGCTACCTCTAAATGACGATGTGAACAATTCTATCGCTAAAGTAGTACATTGGTTTAATGTAAGTGATCTTCTTGATGAAAAAAAATCAAAATGCCTAATGTTGAAAAAGTAGATAAAAATGTTAATATAAAAAATAATAGCATGCGCCTCGTCGATACCACAGTATTTTTAGGAATAACATTAGATTCTAAACTACAGTGAGGCCCACATATTGATAAATTATCGAATAGACTTAGCTCTGCCGTAATGAAGATACGTCGGTTAACTGACATAGATACGTCGGTCAACTGACATAGATACTGCCAAATTAGTATAGGTACTTCAGTAACTTTCAGAGTGTAATGTCGTACGGAATCCTATTGTGGGGCAATGCTGCCGACATACAAACGATTTTTGTGCTTCAGAAAAGAGCAATTAGATCAATTTATAATATTAGGTTTAGATCAATTAATTAGGATTAGGAACTCTTTAAGGGAGAAATTTAAGGAAATAGACATAATGACTTGTATATGTAATGAGAAATTACATATACAAGAATATAATGTACTTTAGTAAGTTAGTTTGTTTTCTTTAAAAAGTGATGAACATAATTTTTATGCAAGAAATAATAATAAATTAACGTTACCTGTAATTAGACTGCAAAAAGTTAATAACTCATTCAGGGGTCTTTGTGTGCGCTTCTTTAATAAGGTCCCAAGCAAAATACAACAACTTGATATCATGCATTTCAAATCTACTATTATAAAAAAATACTTATTAAAAAATCTTATTATAAGGTATCCAATTATATAACAGATAAGAATGCTTGGACTCATAATGGGTTAGCAACTGGATAGGTGATTTATTACTTCTAAGCTCATTAAATCTCAAAAATTATCTTGTTTCCATTATTTTAAATTATCATTATAAGACCATAACTTTTTTCTCTCTCTCTATTTATAATGTATTAAACTGTTAAAGACATTTTTGTGAATGTCATTATTTCTATTAGAGCTGGTGAGTTTCTTACTCCTTCTTCTTATCAGCCAAAAGACATCCTAAACGAGTGGTAAGGAAAAAATTGTTGGCTTGACTTTGACTTTTGCATATAATGTGATGCTATTTAATTGTATTATTATTAATTGTTAAATTAAACTTATATGGATTTTTAAAAACAGATAAATACTTTTTAAGTAAAGCAAACAAACAACATATTTATTTTAAACAATTCATCACTTTGCATTAATAAAGGTGCATCAAAATAACAAGTTGCATCTGCACATCATGCTAAAGTAAAATACAATTGATGTAGAATTGAAAAAGATTTTATTTTTAAGCAAGGCAAATGTCAGCTAATCAAATGATTGAAATATGCCATCTCCCAATCCATCAATGTCAACATACCTGGCCCATGCCAAGTATGAGACATACACCTAACGCATTTATATTTTTTTTCACCTTATTTAAACAAAATTCGGAATAAATTTTAGCTGTTTGTGTAGTCATCATCAGAGTTGGGAGATCTCTCTGTGCAAATGAAAATTCACTATGTATCATATTAATTGGAACTTACTGTACATATTGTGTTTGATTTTATACTTCTTTAATGCTAGCTGTCTGTCAATAATACATCATATAAAAATAATAAATTCTCTTCCATCCTTAAAAGTATTCATTTTTAAATGATTAGTTTTTATTCTTTTTACAAAAATTAAGATATGAGTCAATATCGACTATCCTAGTAACAACTTAAATAATATAGTCAAAATGTTTAGTAGTATCAAAGGAACTGAAACAAAGAATATATATAATTAGTTCCAAACTTAATTAAAAAATTTGACAAATGAATCACAAGAACACTATTGTTTGCCTCATACTTACTGCGGGTTACTGTTCGTATTGACCTAACTAAATTCAGTAATTGAAACTTCATAGACGACTGATCCTCGAAGCCTTGATTTGCAGTATTGGCACCCCATCCCACTGCAATAAATGATAAATTAAAAAATAGGTTTGAACTTTAAAAGTTTGGTACGATTTAGATTTGCATACTTTTTTGCATAAATCTTTCTTCGTGAAGTACACAAACAGCGTTAAGGCAAAGCAGGGATGCCTCAAACAAATTCCACAAAGTTAGCATTTTTTAAACGTGTATGTGATAAACAGTTAAATAATAAAATTTTCTTCGAGAGTAAATTTTTATCTTGAAAGATGTTATTTTGCTGTGCTGACCAGTGTTGCCGCTGGTCATATGTTGGTTTGCCGTATACGAGAGAAAAAAATCGCCGTATTCTTAGTAAAAAATGCTTAAAATATCCATTTTGCCCTTGGTACTCTGAGATGGGAGATTAAGAATATTTTTCGCTAAAGGATTGTAGTGTAAAATTTATTAAATATAAAAATTGCTGTATTTCCACTGAAATTGCTGTACATTTTTTATTTCGTACTGAATAAAAAAGTGAACAATTAGACTTTGTATGTATGTAATTATCTATCATCAATAGTTTGCTTTTCTTACTTCGATTTATCTCTAATGATAGAAGTTACTTTTTTAAAAGGCAGAATAGTTAGTTTCAATTTAAAATCGAAATGGATATGATAGACTATTTGTTGAAGGTTTGTAATAAAACCTTATTACTATTATAAATGTTTTGTCTATTATATTCACGAATGTCAACTTAAACTGGATTGCGTACTGATATATTTCTTAAAATCAAACTTACACTTTATCTAATATAAAATAAGGTTTATTTTTCTATGTCACATTTCAGAGTAGAAAAACGGTCTACTAGAGATATTAGATTTGTAGTAGTAGGTCCTTGTCTAACGAGTTGCCATTGGAAAATTAAATAATTGTTATTGGCAATTAGGAGATTTTATTGATTTTTTTAAGACATCACTAGGCAATTTTAATTATTATCTATTAGTAAATATATTGAATAGACATAGTTGATATGTTTTTTAAGTAAAAGTGTGAATTAATTAAAATTATAATGTAAACCGATGTCGTGTTAGTAGTTTTTCGTTACATCTAAGTAGCAATATTATAAATTAATATGGCCGCTCGATGTGACAACATAAACAATGTTAAAGTTTAATGTTTATTTGTGTTTTGACTTACTAATTCGATTATTTACATCAAAATGGTATATTGTTTTGCTTGGCTGATTGCAAAAATGAATGGTATCACGAATGTGACTTCACATTCCACAGGTAAGCTGTTTTCCTTATTTATTAAACAGTGATGAAATAGGGTGTCTACGATCAAGAAACAAAACCATATCAAAGAGGCTTTGATTTAAATTAATATTCATACGTTTATATTATAAACATTTATAAGTTTTACTTACGCTACCCGCCATTCTTCGTTATCAATATTTTCACGGTAGGTACAAAGTTATTTGGAAAATTGAAAACGAGAACTAGCTTAATTATGTTTTGGAAAATATCGGAATGGCCTACACATTAGTTTAGATAAATATTTATAAAGTAATAATTTTCTTATGCTGACCGTGACAAAATTGCTCTTATGTTTCTAGGATCCTAAAGGATAAAATTCTAGCTGAAAAATGGAGGACAATAATACCAGGCAAAGTGATCCGTTGTATTCTAATACAATTAATAGGAAAAGAAAACATTTCTATCCTTTTAATTGATTTATACATTATAGATGATTATAATAACATTTATGTACTTGTTTTATTTCCTACAAAATAAATATCTTTACCGATAAATAAAAACTAATTTATCGGTTAAATTTCTAACATCATCATTCATAATATCTGTAAAAATTTATAAAATTATATCTGTAAATGTTTAAATTTGGTCATGTAAACATTATTAAATATTACCTATTTATGAAATTATTAAAAACGCGTGGACATCCTACAAAACTACTAAGACAGAGATGAAGAGTTACTAATTTACTCTCTCACTCTGCCCGTTTTTAATGAAACACTGCACAATCCAGTTTAAATTGACATTCGTGATTATATTACCTATCATCAATAGTTTGCTTTTCTTACTTCGATTTATCTCTAATGATAGAAGTTACTTTTTTAAAAGGCAGAAGAGTTAGTTTCGATTTAAAATCGAAATGGATATGATAGAGTTGCGTTTGCATAACTCGAACTAATTAAATTTCAACTCCATATTAATCTGAGTTATCAGATTCATATCAACATTGACAATTCTATTCTCTCTGGGTTCACGTAATGAATTGACGTTTAGATCCAGCGATTTGTGCTTACGTTCTATTTATGTTAAATGGTAATGAAACTTATTCTGTGCGATGTAGGTTTCTTTGTTCTAAATGTCTTGAATTAATAATGTTTTTGTATCGGTACAACGCCATCTCACTACTGGGTCTTGAAACTTCTTGTATTTCGTCTTGCTATCAATTGCTGTGTCGATGCTAGTTTTCTCACTATCGATTAGAGGTGGAAATAACTGCTTAAAATTTTTAAGCGTTGTTATGATTTTTAATAAACATTTTTAAAAACTGCTTATTGTTTAAACGCTTTTTTCAACTGACGTTTGGAAATCGTTATAATAAGCGTGCAACGTTGTGATATCACTACATAGTATAAAACAAAATCGCTTTCTCTGTCCCTATATCCCTATGTATGCTTAAATCTTTAAATAGATCTTTTTATAGATAGGGTGATTCAAAAGGAAGGTTTTTATGTATAATACAAGACCACAATATTATTACCGTTTCTCGACATTTTATTTACACAATCTTAAAACTAATGCAGTTCAATAATATTTTGAATGTTTTATATACATACACACCATCACCTCATAATAAAATTATTTACATTGTTTATTTAGGATTAAGCAAAAGTCATTACTTAAGCAGCAGTTTATTTTCGCATACAATTCAACTTACGCGATTAATTAACATTCCACACAACGTGCACTTACATCAACGCCGAAAAGCGTACTGCTTTTTTAAGTATAAGTTCCGTTTAAAAAAGTGTTTGGATTAACTAACCAAAAAAGTTGTTGCAGAAAGTCTATACTCGATTCATTATAGCATTAGACAGAAGTTAAATAAGGTTCTTTTTATGGTATACTTTGTGACAAAATATTAACAATCATGTTACTCTTAAGACTGACGACTAATTTGCTACATATCCACTTAAATACCAGCTGCTATACTTAACAGTTGTCGTTTAAGCTATCTGTTAAACAAAATTATGAGGATTTGTCAATCTTAAAAGATTTAATAACTTTTACAATAAAAAGTGTTCATCTTAAAGAACCTAGAGAGGCAGGGTTGGATAGTCTCGGCACGATTCTCATGTCACTATAACTCTACCAAATTTAAAACGTTGCCTAATCCCTTCAAACGTTTCAGTAGTACAGCTTTTTAATTTTGTCAGATTATGATGTATTCATAATAGTCAAAATACGTAATCTGGGATTCTCATTAATTGTGAATGTTATTGCCTTTCTTGTTGTTTTAATAATAATAATAATATTTATTTATTTGCGAAAATATGGTTACAAGGTACTTTTACAATGTTAGACCAGCATATTTTATCGTCAAGACGATGTGCAAATATTGTCTGATTTTATATAATAAGAAAATGTCCAAAAATTTAATTACATATAAATAGCAATTAATTACATATAATAATTAAGAATGAGATTTATCTTGCAAGAATTCATTAATGGAATAATATTTTTTATCCATTATATATTTAAATAAACAGGATTTGAATGTAATAACATTATCATGAATGTAAATGGAAAAATGGAAACATGAATGTAATAACATCAAATAACATTATCATTTACCGAATTCTGTGATTGACTTGTAAGTGTACTATTGTTGTTTTCTTATAGTTTTGTTTTAGTTGTTATCTTTTTGATGTTAAGTTTTGCTAAATATGGACGACTCTGGTGCAGGTCCGAATGGCCTACAACATCAATAATCTAATAATATCAAAATAAATGTTATAAAAGTAATAATAAAAAGAACAATGGTCAAAATGGACTACGAAAAAAAAGTTCTTGTACCAAGATGGAATTATCACCAAAATGTATCGTAGTATAAGTTGAATGTAATTATTATATACTAACAATGAGGAAGTATTTAAAAAATAAAAATTAGTTCTTGAAATCATACTAGATGTCACTCGCGATTTTCGGATTTTGTTTATGATATTCATACAAATTTTGTTTCTGACGCAATAAAAGTAAATTGAGTATCGAAAATTAATGAATATGACATCGTTTTGTGTTTCTTATAATATCTAACTTTCAAACTAATTTTAATTTATTTTAATCGTAAGTTTAAGTTGTTTATTATGTTACGTGTAAAGGAACAATGTTTGGTTGATACGTCAACATTAGTGATGAGCCAACTTATTGGTTGCTCATAATTTTCATTCGAATTCAGTTTTGGAATGAAGAAAAAAATGATGATGAAGATGAAGTGTCATTATGCATCAACAAAACGAATGATATTAATATAAATATCAAAATCAATTCAGTCAAGCCTGTTACATAGTACTTGTGAAAGTCGAAAACTTTACCAATGGTTCGCAAAACTAAGGCGGGAGATCTCGTACTGACAAGAATCGGTAAGAAACTCAGCAAGGGCTGGTTTTTTAATTTCAACTATACTCTATTTGAGGGAACGTAACCACATTACGCACACGATACCACCGCAGAGATTTTCAACTTAACACATGGCTCGATGTCCATCGTCGACATGCAAGATCAGTAGCAATAGAATAATAACTGTATGAGTCTTTGTGATTTTAAAATTTTATAACTTTAAATTTTTAACTGTTAAACTTTGCTGTTCGTTTAGAACAGACGTTTCTTGTTGATTGCTGAATGTTTATTTAGATGAGTTAATTATGATTATAAGACTTAATAACTGATCATAGTTTTTTAAAGTCTTAATTTCGAAAGCACAAGTTATTTGCACATTACACTTTGCACAAACGTCATTTTAGCCAGCAGTCATGTTATTTTGTACGAATACATAGTATATTTGATACACGGGTAGTATATAGATAATAAACGGATTTTTTATTATAATTATCGTTTTCATGACTTTTGTTGCTGTACACAATATAAAAATATTATTGAGACTTGATGAAGTTTTGTTGTTATAAGTTCAACAAACAACTTATAGCAATAAAATTAATTTACCTAGTTGTTATTATTTTCAGAACTTTTGTTAAATATTGTAATGAAAATTCCTAGACCTACTATGGTATAAGTACCTATTTTATTTATAAAAACTATTTGGCAGTAATATTATTGTATACCGTAGCTAAATGCCACTTTTAATTATATCATAGCATTAATTCAATTGATTTCAGTAAATTTAAAAAACCTCTGTGCTCACTTCCATTATGTTAGTTTCCATTTTTGTCTATACAAACAAAAAATATTTTTATTCAAAGATTACTTTGTATTATTCGAGTTGCTTTTGCGTAACTCGAATTACTAGTTAAATTTCAACACGATATTAATCCGAGTTATCAGATCCATGACAACACTGACAATTCTATTCTCTTTGGTTTAACGTCATGAATTGACGTTTAGATCCAACAATTTGTGCTGCCATCTAGTGACATAAATTTTTGTAGTTTCTTTATTTTTTTTAAATACTTCCTCATTAATTTTTAAAAGCTGGGAAAAGAAAGATAATCCTCATTTAAACGCAGTTTAAATTATGTTATTTTTGAACGCATCTTATTCCTAGAGAAGTCCCTCTCTTTTCAAAGAACAAGATCGATTTTATGTCTGACTAATCGAATTTGATACAAATCTTATATTATTGCCTAACCATATAAATCCGTGAAAATTAAAAAACTTAGATTAGATTACTAATATAATTAGATGTTACTTAGAGGAAAATAGTTGATTTATAATGAAATTAAAAACAAATGATTATTTAAAAGAATCGATATTACAGTATTCAATCGATTGCGACCTCCCTTTTTTAGACAAGTATGTGTAGACGTGTTTCTACGCAGACCGTTTTGTAACTTTGGCGGCGATTTTGTATTATCTTCTGTATTATGGGGAGTATACTAGGTTCCATAGGCAGTATAGATTTGAGGTCTGGAGAGAAATACCGGATTCTCTGGATTTATTAGAATTAAACTTAAATATAAATAAAGTCCTAATTATAAGGGGTAGAATTAAGTCGAGACATTGGGCGGAAACAATATTATGTGTACATTAAAAAAAATAATGACACATCCGGGTTGGATGGCATAAGAGAACACTGCTGTAATTGTCTTATTGGTCGATGTACTCTGGGATGCTGTGCTCATATAATGACCATAGTTTGGTATCTTGGATGGGCCAGACACAAACAGAATGTAGCTGTTTCTGCAGCATTCTGTGATGAGGTATTCATTAGAGTTGTAATAAAGAAAAGAAAAATCAACATGTTGTTTTGCTATATCCTTTTGGAATTAGTATTTTCAGTACTACTTTATATAAGTTATAGTGTAAGATAGAAAAGTAGAGTTATTGAGAGCAATCTTAAAAATTCTATTATTTTTTTTGAGCTTCATTGGTTCACAAAAAATGATTTTATTTCTTACAGTCAATAAAAATAATTTATCAGATATGGAGCAAGTTTGAAGTATTATGTGAAAGTATGCACTTCTAGGATTACGATTAGGCATTATCTGAGGTGTGCTTTACATATTTCAACTGTAATACCTCTAACTCAAAATGCTACAGTTTGAATAATACGACATAACCTCAAAAACATATTTCAAAATTACTCGATACTCCCAGCTTTTAAAAATATATTTAATGTCTTTCTTTGTTCTAGTTGCATAGACAAACAAAATAACATATGTTTCATCAAGTTACGTTTTATTTGATTTTACTAGTCCAAGCATGTTAGGCAGATGGCCATTGTTCTTTATAGAATTAAACTAGCTGTCCGGAAGGTAGCTTTAGAAATTCCTTTTTTCATAAGCTATCTAAGCTATATTTCATAAGCCAGTTAAAGTCAAAATGAGTCTAACCGTTTCAGAGTGTAGCCGAAACAAACAGATAGACAAAAATGTAAAAAAAAACATTATTTTGGTATGGGTATGTACCGTTTATAACATGTGAATTTAGTAAAAAACGGTTTATTTGTATTTGTTAAAATAAAACTAAGATCCGTTCATTCATTCATCGGGAGTTCCCCAACCAAAGAGTATAGTTCAAATGTTTGTAGGAGCATTCCAGGGTTGCCATAATAAGTAATAGAATATCTACTAATAATATTCACACTCGCGATCCGCTATGGGTTGCTGAGCCATCGAAGTAAAGTAAATAGGTACTACGCTAAAGTTTTAAACTATTCCTATTGCTAACATTTTAAGAAATAATCGATGGTTAATCGTAGATTATAAAATCATAATTGATAGCAACCGATTATTTGGAAAATCGATAAATCGATTCCGCACACCATTAAATTGGATGTCGCTACGTTAATTATATTGTTAATCTGTGGTCATCGCCATCTTTCAATCGTTTATCTTTGTTTTACATGTAAAAATTAATTTATTTACTTGACATTGGCAAAATTGAGTGAAATGCGCAGATAAGCCATTAAATAAAAAAATAAAAAAGAAGAACGTATCATTCGCCAACTCGCCACAATGGATGATAGAAGTGGACCAAAAATGTATGAGATAAGTGGTAATTTAGTTACACCAACTTTGATTACAAAAAACCTTCCAGATCAGTTCAATGCGTTGCCGATTTATGGACGGCCTAAAAATAAAACCGAATTGCCAGAGTTTTATAAACAAAAGATGAGACAATTCGTTGGTTATGATCTTAATGATGAAGAATTTGACAAGTTGTCGAAATATTGCAGGTGATTTCTTGTTTTAGTAAGTTATTTAGTAGCCTTAATGTTTAAATATACATATTTAATTTATTAATAGTCTTATACATTAAAGCAAATTTTATTATATATATTTTCAGTGCTGACCATTTAAGAACAGGTTGTGAAGTTCAAATGCCCACACCTTTCCCCACATTTGGTGCATATCAATCACCAGATAAAATGAATGAAAAGACAGTTGTTGATAAGGCAGCAGAGAAATCTGATCATATGAAGCTTAGCATACACAAGAAATTACAACTGCGTATTGAAAACGACACTGGAAATATTTATTGTAAAAAATTAAAATACAGGGGCATACGGTTTTTGCCAATTCCTGCTGTGGTGAGTATTTCTATATCCAGCATTGCATTACCACTAACCACTTAATTCAAGTAAGTTGTTAAAGTTTAATAGAAATGAAACTGACCTGTTTTGTCCTACCTGCTGTGGGCAGATTTTGACTGATAAGAAGAACAAAAAAAAGATGCTCACTAACGCTAACAAAAGTAATTACATTTTCAAAACTATACCATTACCAAATAAAAATTAACATTATAATTTTATTAGATGAGAGACAATCAAAACAAAGAATAAGAAAACTATGACCTTACAATTTTAACAATAATTTTGAAACATAAATATCGTACTGATAAATTTTTGATAGATGTAGTGGTGAAATTAACCTTTGTGTTTTAATCAGATGCATCAGATGATGGAGAAAGGACAAAAAAGTATGGAAAAATTTACTCTAAAATGGTTGGGCTATGTAAAATTTAAAACTTACAAGTCACAACTAGTAAACATGACACCTTGTATAGCATGACAAACTTTAAAAACACTGTCTACACCAAGCTTATTGTACTCTGTTCGAGAGTGTTATATGTTTGTGAGTATTGTATGGGTGCACCTGAAAAAGTAACATTTGTGTGTAGACAAAATATTCTTGAGTTCATCTTGCTATGTGTGCTGGCTCAAATGATGTTAGTGCAAAGTTTAGTGTGTAAAAAAGTTTTCATTATGACTTATTGATAGATTTGATTATAAAATACTAGCTGGTGCCTTAATCTTTGACTGAGTGGACTTTATGAAATAGTGAACTGTTGACTGAAAATGCACAGAATCTATTTTGTACATAACATTGATTGTGTTTTCTTATAACAAATCTGAAGCACACATGAAAAATCCTTTAATGCACATCAACACTGAGCATCTGCTCCTATGACTTATTTATCGTTAAAAAAACTAAAAATAAACAAACTATTATGTAAACATCATTACTTATGATAAAAAGCTGGTAAGTTTCTTTTGTTAGTTCTTCTCGTCGGCTAAAAGATGTCCTGAACAAGTGGTAGGGGAAAGTTTTGTTTCAAAATTGCTTGTAATAAGCCTACTTGAATAAAGATATTTTAATTTCATTTAATGTAGTACTTGCTTTGTCACAATTTCACATATAGAACTGTTTCATGATGCAATTCTGACTTCAGCAATTAGTATTTTGAACATTGTGTGTGCAGTCTCTGTGAAGCAATTTAGCAGTAATCCCTGAGGATGCTACTGTGAGAGCAATCTTATTCTGTCACTAATTCCAACCAGGGTTGCTCTCGAAATATATGTGTTAAGTTCCCCTGAGACGTCTAAGTAAAACATCTTTACTACATCATTAGAGATGATCTAGAAAACTTTTTGTTATATATTTCCCTTTGTTCAATAGTAAAATTTGAAGTACTATCTCTTTGAAATATTAACTACACTGGCCAATTCTGTAGAACAATGATTAGTTACAGCAAGATTTGGTTTTGGTTATGGTATATGTAGACTATAATCACTAATAGATTTTCACCAAAATCAAAGACAGTTTCTTTTATAGAACAAAGGGAACTACTTAACACAGTCTTCTGCTGCATATTGTTTCACAAAGTGCGTAAAATGTCTTCAAATAGATTTGTTAATACATTGTTAGTAATACATTGCTTTCCACAAAGAACACATGTATCAAAATCGTGATTATATGTCTGTTTGTTGCTTTTTTTAATGAAATTTAATAACGCTTATACTACGTGTGCGGAGAACGGTAGTAAGAGGTAGCGCGGTGACGGTGTCGTGTACGCGAGTGCTTAGTTTTTTTTATATAAGTAAGGTGATTCCATTCACCTCTATTAAAATATGGCTAATGAAATATAAAACAAAAGATACATCTCACTTTCTAAAATCGATAATTTTGATACATAATTTATTACACATTATATTTTTTAAGATTCCTTTCCTTTTCAGGAAGACGCTAATATTCCAATCGTGACAATAGGCAAGCCTTTGGAACCTGGGAAAGAGTTATTGTTTCGAGTCCGTTTGTACAGACCTTACCTCCAAACACCAAGACTGCAGAAAAAAGTAAATATAATTTGATAATAGAATGGGTACATATGGTTACATGTCAGACTATACATCGTGGACTCTGTCTGTGCCGACCGTGCTTCATATAGAACTTCTCTACTAACAGAGTTCTGCTTACGGTAGTGGTGTGTAGCGTGGCGTGCGTATATACATGCTCACTATTTTAAAAAGGCTTATAACATACCATGTGGCCACTATATGTAATGTGTCCGACAGCTGCAGATGCAGCCGGGATCGAGGCCTAATGTGCATTCCGTACAATGTAAATACATATTTGGTGACTTATATTTTGGGCCTTTGCGAAAGTCCTCTATCGCTGATCGAATTTAACAATCGTTGCGCCTTCTACCTCCCCTCATCCTATTATATTGTAATGGTATTATTTGTGGTGCAGCAATCTCGTCGTTCAGTGTTTAGCTGCGACTTGTTGTGCGTGGGTCGTCAGCCGCTATCGGTGATACGAGACCGGATCGTGTGCGTCAATGACGTGGGCCTGCGTCTTGACGTCTCCGACAATCCTGACAGAGTGCCCGAAGCTGATGCCAAGGTTCTTATGCATTCAAACTTCTTATGCAGTCCATCATTAGAAAGTTAAAAAAGAGTAATAATTTGTGCCCCCTAAATTTGCATTGTATTTTTCACCTAATGTTTGTTGAGTAAAACATTTTCTTATTCAAATGCAGTATGCACAAATTAAAAAAAAAACAGTTTCATGTCACTGTAAATAGATTTGCGGATATTTAAATGAGGAAGTATTTAAAAAAAACGAAAGCACTAAAAAAACACTTCCACTAGATGGCGACTCTAGCAAAAGACAGTCATTTCTGTTCCTTTTAACGAACATATTAAAAAACTGAAATTGGAAAAGTTTGAAACTTAGATATTTATACAAATACGAAAAAGTACAAATAGAATATGAGTTGTTTAATGGCTTTTGAAAACTATTTATTTATTTACTTTTAAACATGAAAGAAAAACGGAATGTCATGGAGAAATCAAGAACGTACCGTAGCGACATCTAGTTTGATTTCGGGAACTAATGTTTTTTTTTAATACTTCCTCATTGGTCACTAGTCTATGCTAACATGCTATTATAATATAATCTTGCCATCATGATAGGTGATATTAGGTAGTGTACCAGCTAAAAACATGTGGTTGTCGGCAGACATTGTTTCCCTCTGGGTTCCTGTTCATAAACAACGTGTTCTACGTGGACTCGCGCCCTGGCTGCTTTGACCGCAGCGTTGAGATCCGCACGTGGGCGGCGCGCCGCGGCATCGGACAGTTCCCCGTGAAGGACATGTGCACTGTACAACTACAAGACATACCGCTGAGACTCGGTCACCCGGAGGTATATCATACAAAATATAGTATGTAGACATTACACAGCGAACGTAACATGCAGTTACACAGCGGACATATGCAGTTACACAGAGGACGCATACTGTTACACAGCGGACACATATATAATCAGAGACAGGTATATACGGAGGCAGGCAGTGTTCGTCTCTCTGTGAATATAAACATAGATTGCTATCTCATAACATTTTTTACAATTAAATTTGACAGCGCCTTACTCACTTCGCTAGTACTTCGGGCTTCCTCTGAATATCACAAATATCGTTCCATATTAGGAAAATAAAAACGGTAAGGTTATATATTCAGTGCCATTGGTCACTCACCCAATGAAGAGCTTTCATTAATTTAAAATTTTAACTTTCAACAAAGGATCTTTTATGATTAATCGTAATGTTAATAATACAATTAATCAGCCAGCCACTGTCTATTCCTATTTAGTTACTCTCAGAAATGTGATTTATTGTTTATTAAATAATATTTTAAAAACAGCGTAGATTGTCATCCAAAATTTGACAGAAGTTCCTATACAATAAAGACTGATTTTTTTGCTGAGTACTTGGCTAAAGTACTTTATAGATTTCGCGGGAGGCGATAGGGATTGATTGAAGGACTGACTCAAAAAAATCAAAATCTATATTTTATTACGTAAATTACTGGTTTAGAGCAATGTATAAGTAAGTATTTTTAAAATCAATTTATCATGTCGCACAATATACAATGTAATGATTATTAAACCAGTCAGGTATATTTTTTGAGCAACCGAATAATAAAATCCAATACTTAAAATCTATTTTGGTTGAACAAAGCCCGATCCAAGGGAGAGGTGTCATTTAGGTCATGACCGCCCTCTGTGCTGGGACCGTGAACCAGGTGGACCACTAATTAAAATTGTTTATCTACAAGATTTATTATCATTTCTTTCTTATTTTAATATAGGTAGTTATTTTAAGTACAGTAATTACATTAATTAATAAAATATCTTTATTTTACTTATATCGATTAGAATTAAATTATAACTTCTTGAGACTTGACCACGACTACGTTACACTTCGCGTCAAAGCTGGATCGTCCTATAGATTTAAGATGTTGCGAGAGCCATTAATAAGCCATTAATATTCTTTCGAAGGTCTGGGGTTGAGACAACTTAGTCTAGCCTAACCCTTTGGAAAGACGTAAATCATGTGCCTATCGAATACAATTGTAATTTCTCTCTTCCCCAGGTATACATACATCAAGGCGACTGCGAACACCTATTCACGTTTTCAGAAGTGAGATTGCTCGGTCCCCGCGACGCTTCCCTGCTCAGTCTGTATCCGATACACACAGCTCACGCTCAGAGCCAGTCTGTGTATTGTACCACGTGTGCCGAGTTCGGCGCCAAGTGGGTAGTGGTCGGCTGCGATCGAGTACCATTCGATCCCGCATTCTTCTGCGACACTTGCTTCAAACTATACTTGTACGTGGACGGCAAGAAGATAGGAGATTTCAAAGCGTACTCTTACAGGGGTAACGAGTTGAATATGCTGAAGCCCCAGGGATGATTTACGGGCCCGTTCTGGATTATCGAATCGGATGAATGAGATCTCGATTGTAATGATGTTGATTTTTATCGTTGATTTTAACGCTCACTTTCATGATATTTGAAATGAAAAAGGTTGTTTCTGGTGAATATGGTATTTACTGGTAATACAGAAAGTCTTAAGTGAAAAAATATTGATTTCAAATATTCTATGCACTGTTTGTTTCGGAATAAGTAAAATAAATCATTGTATTTTTAATTTTGCTTAAGGCTGAGCCTAAACGCAAAAGAGACAGTCAATGCATCCCTTAATGGGATATATAGAAATAGGGGATGGCATATAGCTCGCCAAAAAATTGTTTGTAATTGGCTACTTGATAGTTTTAATAAAAAACTATGAGTTGGAAATAGTAACTTATATGTAAATAAATGACTTTAAAGCATTTTTTGTTTTAAAGTAAATTGAGAGAATATTTTATTGTTGTAATATAAACTTGTGATTTATAGTCTATGGATTACAAGAACTGAAACGCAGGCGATCATGACAGGAGGATCGTGTGACGTCACATTTCAATAAACTAAACGTAAATGTCTTTGGTGCGAGTGCAATCAGTGCTCATGTTTATTGACGTCACTGTTATCGCCGGCCAATTTATATGATAAAAAATATAACTAATTAAAACATGATTTTCCTTTATTTAGTTACACTTTTGGATAGAAATAAATATGATAGTGGTTATAACAACTGACTTTATGAAGTCACTTTCCATTACAATATGTAACATGTAAGAATAAAAAGAGTTTTTGTCGGTACGAAAGCTACAAGTTATTATTAAGATATATATGTGCATAATTGGCTTTCAAAGTATGAGTGTGTCTGTTTACTGCTATGTATATTGTTGCAGATTACTTACATCTGGTTAGCGATGTGGCCTATATATATATATATTGTCACGTGTCATTTTTGATTGTCGAGCCATCAGTTTCAGTGACTATCCCATATTCTCTCAGAGTGGCATTAAAGAACATTATACACGACAATGCACAATAATGCATAAATTAAGTACACGCATAGTCAGGTTACTTTGATATGTTAAATTCTAGTTGATTTTTGACTCTCCGCTCGATATATTAAGGTTTAAAATTAAGTAGATAATTTATATGATCTGTACTTTACAAAGTAATATTATATAATGTACACACGGCTGCACCTCGGGTTATCACAGTATGTCAATTTTCTGCAATTTATTTTGAACTCTTACGGTCAATGTATTAAGGTTTAAAACATAAGTTGAGACTTTTGACAGTTTTGTATAACCTGACGTGCTGTTGACTGTACGTCAGGTAATTAATTAATTTTGTGGGACAAACCCACAATTGCAAAAATGTCCATTAAAAATGAGATTATTTTAAGTCGCCCGGATTGCGAAAGGTCGTGGGTTCGATTCTCATCTCAGGGTTATTTTAAAGCACCAAAACTAATTTTTAAATTAAGAACATTTTTGCGGCGTAGTCACAAGTAAACCTTATTGGGCGTTACACATAAGTTTAAGTTTTAATTGATATTTAGCCTGAATAAACAACAGGCAAAATGTTTAAATTCAGTTGAAGATAATACGACAGTCACCTCCCTAAGATTTAACAATTACCTGATAATACCTTATCAAATTACTATGCTTGCTAGTACTTAGGTAACAATTTCAATTACCTGCTCCGTATAAAAGTCTGATTAATACAAATCAGATTCGTACAGGACGATTTTTTGTTGGATGCTCTCACAGGTCTCTATATACCTTGACGTTAGACTTTATCTATTATAGGTACCTACGGATACAATGCAAATTACATTGAGCAATCAGCATTTAATGACGCTGCTCCATCATCATTATGGGAGACAGGCGATGACAGGTGGCCATCTGCAATTTTGCATCTAGGTCTGGAATAGGTGACCAAAGTGCAACACGTCGACAAATATACTTATTTATATCTATTTCAAATGTTTAATATGCTAGTGTTACGTGAGTCTGCTTTAGATTGTCATTACTAGGTACTAACTTCCTTCCAGGTGATGATTCCAAAAGTGCCTAAGAGAATTGTGAAACACAATGAATTTCGCAAACACGTATGTTTTGATGACACCTGTCTTTACTAGGGTTGTCATCTTCATTGAAATACAGTTTCTTTAAAAATAATCTATAACAATGTAGTACATTTCAAAAATCTAAGTCTTTAAGAACCATAAACAAAGACAAATTGAAATTATCTCTTATTCAAATAAGTTTATTAAAAACTAGCTCTTTTGGCTGACAAGAAAAACGAGCGAAGGACACTCACCAGCTTTTACGCTCACAGTTGGCGAAATCCAATAAATAAGTATTTATTTATTAGATATCTATCGGTGTTGAAAATAGTATTTTTGCGTACTATATATTTCTCCAACAGTTTAAACAAAGACTAGAGTGAAGGCTCAAATATAGTACAATACAATAAAATTATAGTAAGGTTGGCGACTCAGTCATTACTCCACCTATCAACGGAGCCGCAGGTGACATTCACTATGCTTTATGAGAATATATAACGGGATTTGCTACTGAGTGGGGTGCAGATAAGAAGAAAAAACAAAAAAAAAAGCATTTTACGTATGTACATAAGTTCCAATTGATAAAGCTGTAACTCGGTTAACGAAAAGCTTACAACTATGTTTTTTTCCTCTTTATTTTGGTACAAACAGTCATGATAATCAAGTCACATCTTATAACAAAGCATACAAAAACAAATAGTACCCGTAATTATTAGAATATAATATGTTTTGAATTCGAATAAATAACGTAACACCTCTAAAATAAGTAGATTTTACTAAGTTCTCTATTTTATAAAGCAATAGCGTTAAGCTTTTATAGGTATGTTTTGTAAGTGTCGCAAAATGATGGGTTCGATTAATTTCATAGTTCATATTTTACTTTTTAATGCATTTAAATAAAAGCTTCTTTTTAATAGTTTTATCATCCTGTTTATACAAAGTCTCTAAGAGAGATTCGACGATATTGATTGGATGTGTACAGAGACATTAAGTAATTTTGACTAATGCAACAGATAATATTACTAATAGGTAGTACTATACATAGTATAAAGCAAAATCCTTTCACGCTGTCTGTACGCTGATATATTTTAAACTACACATCGGATATATAAACCGATATTTAGAGTGGTTCAAGCAGAGTATAAACTAGTTATATACATATTAAAAACCGGACTTCAACTCTTATTCAATATTGGACTTCAACTCTTTATTCTAGTAACTTAACTTCTTGAAATAATAAAAAAACTGCTGTATGTTTAATAAATTTCTTTATATTGTTTCTATCTGCATCTAGTCCTTAGGTACGTTTAATAGTTTTAAATTATTTATTGTAATAATCTAAGCAAACCCTTTCTATCGTTAGCCATATTATGAAAGTTATTGAAACAAAACTAATCTGCAATTTGTGTGTTCTGTTATATTGTACTTAGATTAAAATCAATTTATTAGGCATTACCTATGTGATTGCCGTTTTTCATGAAATAAATGAAGCGTATTTTTTTCTGTACTTTTTATTTCTGTTAATCAAAGTAATCACCATCTATGCATCTTTGCCAACGCATTGGTAGCTTATTGATGCCCTTTTTGAAGAAATCAGTGGCACGATAGGCAACAAATTCTTCAAAGGCATTTTGTACTGCCTCTCAGGTATTTAATTTCTTCCCGCCAAGAAGTTATTCAAGTTCTGGAAAAAGTAGAAGTCTGTAGGCGCAAGGTCTGGTAAGTGGGTGGATGACTGAGAACTTCCACCCCCAGCTCTTGTAGCTTGGAGACCGTCTGCTGTGCAGTATGAGGTCACGCGTTGTCGTGCAGGAGCGATATACCAAAGCTGGTTGGAGACGACCTTTGGTAAGAAGCTGAATTACACCCGCGTTAGACCACTAACAGTGACCATCACATTTCTAGGGGTAAGTTTTCGTTTAGGGCATTGTTTGGATGCTGAATCAGTGTCCAACCATCTTGCTGAGCGCTTATGAATGTCGAATAGGATCCATTTCTCGTCACAAGTAACAATGCGGTTCAGAATTCTTTCATTTGTATGCCTGTTGAGCAGTGTAAGGCACGTCTCGACGCGTATTGAGTTCGTGGGGTACCCATTTGTCAAGCTTTTTTACCTTGCTAATTTGTCGCAAACGGACCAATATTGTTTAGATGCTAACGTCGAAAGCTGCTGCTAATTCAGCCGTAGATTGAGTTTCATCAGCTTCCACAATGGCCTTTAATTCTTCATTGTCGACCAATGTCGATCATTGTCGTTTTGGGACGACCACGGGGTACATCCTTCAGATCAAAATTTCCAGAACGGAAGCGGGCAAACCAATAGCGGGTGGTGCGTTCGTTTGTAGTGTTCGCTCCGTAAACGTTGTTGATGTTGCGTGTTGCTTTTGCCGTTTTGCTGCCACGACGGTACTTATACCCATAATTATTCGAATTTTTAACTAATCCATGACAACGAAAAATGTTTGAATGCGTTGAAAACAAAACTCTAATTATTAAACAAATGACGATTTAAGAAAAAAATGACGATTTTAGTTCACAAATATAAAAGTATGTCGATTTGAAGTGACGTGTTCGCCAAAATTGCTGTGAAATATTAACTGTTTTATTAAATTTTCGTCTTTGATATATTGATCATCATCATTAACTCTTTCTTAGCCAAACTGCAGGGCCTCAGGCCTTTGTTTAATAATTTTTGGTCACCCATCCCGTGACAACTCTTGCGAAAATTGCTTAGCAATAACGATTGTGCGCAACGAATTAACGTTGTGAGCTACGAATTAATATTGTCTATAAAATTATAATTTGTATGATGACAAATAAAAAAATAAGATTCCAAAATTTTGACAACTCCGAAGTAAGTTGACCTCATTTATGTATGGCCGGTCATATTAAATAAAGTTCAGCTTATAATAGACGTGTGCTATATGATCATGCGAGTAGGAGAACAGGCGAAAAGAGCCTTCTGATGATGCAATTATGCATCGAGCAGTTTACAGTGAACGCATATTTTTATTAGATTAGGTTCACGTCGTCGTCGGGGCCAGCGGAGGTGGTTGGCAGACGCCCGCATTGCTCTGTTTCGTTTTTGTTTTTTTAACATACAAATTGCTGTAGATACGTACTTCAAAGTTGGTATTTTGTCTTCGCTGGAAATAATGGTTTATTCATTGGTCACAATAATAATATAATATTTCGCGAGTCTGAGGGTCGGTTCAGAGTAGCTTGGTGGCGTAGTGAATAAGCGCCATGGCCCGCGATTGTTTCGCAAAGGTCGGTCACAGGATGGGTGACCAAAAAATATTATCTCAAGCAACTCCAAGCTTTGGAAGACACGTAAAGCGATTGGTCCTGGTTGTATTTGCAGTCGTTAATATCCTCCAATCCGCATTGGGCCAGCATGGAGGGTCGTGGCCCATCCTCCTTAACCATCCATATGGCAGGCCTCAGCTCCTGCAGTTGGTGACGTTAAAGGGCTGACGGAAGTTCAGTTAACACGTTCACTGCGGCTTGAGGTCGATTCAGCCTCATGGTAGAGCTGGTGCGGCGCGTATAGCTCGTGTTTTATCTCGTGCGGTGGCTGTTTACACTCAACGGTATGACGTACGACAAAGACAAATATCTTTAAGTCTGCGAAACATTAACTCGATAGTATAAAAAAAACACTTGAGGTCGAAATAAGCCTCAGACGCACTGAACACAAAATTATTTAATAAGGTGCGGGTTGAGGCCGATTCCGACCTCAAGCGGTCGGGGGCGCGGGCGGCGCGGGAGCAGTTAAGTCGACTTTAGTGTCGATGTCGATACAATAGTCGATGGACCACCTGTTTTTTCGCAATATATATCGTCGTGTCTTATGTTTTTTTGTTTATATTATTAGACAAATTTGGACAATAAAATTCGTAAATAGTGCAGCAAAAGGTAAAAATATATTTTTATTGATTCGGATAGTGTCAACAAGAGCGCGAGAAACGAGAAAAAAATAGAAAAATAACATTCGTAAGGACCGTTCACAGGATGGGTGACCAAAACATTATTATATCGAGCACTGTGCACAACACTGGCACAATGCACGTTAAGCCGTTAGTCCTGGCTGTATCAGCATCGTTAAAACCCACCGATCCGCATAATGCCCGCACAGTGGGTTATGGCCCATTGATCTTATTCGATTCGACTCCATTCATAGGAAAAAAGAATTCTACCAAAATACTTCCCACGCAGACAAAGTCGCGGGCACAGCTAGTTATTTATTATAATTTTCGCAGTGAACTATTTCATTGATGAGATATTAAGAGAGATAGAGTTACATAACTGGTTCGCAATCTTTGGTGTTCCGTTAACTTTGATAACAATGCATTGTCATTTTAACTAAGCCTTTAGGTATGCCATATTTCAGATAAGTAAGTATAACGAATTGGGACTGCTTTAAAATTCAGTTACAAGATTTGAGGAATATGTGTACAATACAAGTTAATTAAAAGCTTATAAAATAATAAGTAGGTAGTTAGGTCTTACATTACGTAGTAGCAGCAAATAGATTATGCCCTTCAATTGCAAAATCAAGATGGCAAACTAATAAGCTGCAATCAGGTGGATAATTTATTTATATGGGAGTTCCGCAGAGGCGGACATAAGCGGATTATAAAAATAATGTATACTTTAGATATTATTTTGTATTAAAAATAAGGTGTAGGTATTTTATGGATCCTCCACGTAGTTGTATTAAGATGCAGCATTGTTGCACTTGTTGCCTATAATGCTCATTATGTCATTATATGTTTTGTTAAAAGTTTCGTTATAGAAAAATTTAGTATTAAGATCAGCCAAAGAATTAAAACCTCTTTACTTCTACCTCCATGATGCCTTTGAACTCAGACACTCAGACTCGGAACCTTCTTAGAGCACTTTTTTTTAATTTGCTTTGTTTATTTTTACATCTTAATATTAAAAAAAAACCTTAGGTTAAAAACAAAAAATCTTGAAAACAAGTGAAAAGTTTAAAATGAGTTATTGTTGCGACGAAGAAGTTTATTAGACAACAACAGAATTCATTGAAACTATAACCTACATACAATATAGTAGTTAATACCTATACTGAATTAAAAGTATCTTATGATTGTATATGTATTCTCTGCATTTAACCATTTCTTTGCTGAAGTGGAATGAAAAGTTACGTGTTACACTCGAGTGCAAAGATTTTCCACTTTGTGCTTTTTTGATTCCCTCGCAAACTTTCAAAATTCCAATTTCTTAATTATACGCTGCGCTTGTGATTCAATTTTAGAATTCTTAGCTTGCTCGGTCATGAGCACGCAGTTAAAAAAACTTTCCCCTCTTGTATATAAAATAACTATTATTCCTTTGTATATTTTAATTATCTAGTGCGTAATTAATGTTATTTTTTTTATTTAACACCGGGAGAATATTATGGACTGTGACGACAAAGTCTGCATTGCATGGGAGTCACAAGGATAAAAAAAATCCTATTTAACCCAATTAAAATACTTATAACGAGAGTTACAACTTAATAAGTTGATTTATTTAAAGAAGATCTACGAATCAGGAGTTATTGAAAAATATTGTCTCATCTTAAAACAGGATTGCATCGTAAGCAATAACTTCGGCCCGTCATCGAGTTTATCGCCGTAGTTTTATTTACTCATAATTTCGGCTCCCAGAAATTTGAAATATTTATTGATGTCCATTAAAATTGTTGGCTTTATCAGCAAGGATCCGATGATAGCAGAAGTCATATAGCTAATTGACCTTATCTTATTAATCGTAGAATTATCATTGAGACTAACGCTGGATGATAGTTACAATAAGACACGGATGGAATTAGCCTTTGTCCACCTCTCGTAGCCGGTTTGAAATAGAAAATAAAAGATAAATTTCAATTAATGAACTATTTTGGTAAAACGCCCATGACCGACCATCGTTCTTGGATTGGTCAAATAATAAGTCGCTGTAGGATAGTAGAAGTATCTGTAGCATACTGGGCTCATTCGACTAATTCAGATAAGACTTCCAATCTGTTTTGAGCAAAAGAACCCTTTTCCAAAAAGAACTACTTCAGACCCCCATAGACAAAATTGCTTGTTTTTGTTGTTGGTACAAAATAATTACAAACGATGCGGTTGGTAAGCGAGTAATTTTCTTGATCATAATTTCTAATGAAAATTTAACAAAATAAGTAGATATAAAATTCTAGGTATTTCTATTATTAATGCAAATAACTTATAATTTTATAGACATTCTTACTATAATTAGTCATTTTTATAAATAATGTACACGTAGGTACACTTTTAAGACAGTATCTTGACTTCTACCTATATAATTTACTACTTAGATAGACATCGATCAGAAGATTGCGTGTTCAAATCACGTCGTGGTCGCCATTTTACCGTATTTTGGGTATTTATTTATTCGTATATAGGGTGATATTTTACTTATTGGTAAGTTGACTTTCTGACTCTATTTACACGAAAGGTTGGTAAAATGAATAAAC